CTTCAGCACCATTCAAGACACACACACACACACACACACACACACACACACAGACAAACACACACATAAAAGTCTTGTAGAAATATCAACTTTCATCTTTCTTGATAAGGATAAGGAACCACATATCTAGGGTTAATAATAATCCTAACCCTTCAACATGACAGTTGACAGTTATATGTAGGCTGTTTGAAATTCCATAATTTTCTTCCACAATAGATGTGAAAATGCAGAGTCTTGTATTGATTATTTGGCTGAAAATATGCCTACTGATTAAAGCTACTCACAATAATTATCCTCTCAGGTGGAAAAATGTCCTAGTCATAGGAAATTAAAACCTTGTAGGCTAGCCTACATAGGAGCAGAACATAGGCTAGGATTTTTATAAATGATTGTTTATAATAATAATATAATAATCCTCAGATGTCCACAGATCCTACTGAGAACCAGTGGCTGCCTACAGTAACCTAATCACCAACATATCTGCCAAATTGGAAAGGTCCAACCATTAAAAATATCAGTCCCTAATAATAGTACATTTCCTATGTATCCTAGTTTTTTCATTACTGTTAAACAACATTATAAATAGGCAAAGCAATTATCAGCCATGTTGACAATACAATAGCTGCTCTACTGGCAAACAGAGAATACTTAGATGTTGCCTGTCAGGTGCTTCCGGAGTGGGCATTGTTACGCCAAAGCCGTTTCAGAGGTCGCCTTTTAGTCATCTTGACAGTGGAAAATAAATGCTCATACATAGCATAGGAAGGCATTGAAAGGGCAATTTTCATTGCAAGGACATTAAGCGTAACCTTCAGTGCCTTTCAATGTGTCACAGGAACCTTGTTGGGACTATCCATATCTGTGGCACAAGGCACACATTGTGTGAGCTTGCTGTCTGCCTGTGCATCAGCTCCTTCCTAACTTGTATCTTGTCTTGAATAATTAACTGCGGGAGGAAAGCAGATCCATTTTCTGATTTTCATAGGAATATTTACTGTTGCATATTTAGATAAATAGCCTACAACTAAATGGATGCAGTGCTTAATACATACCCTGTCTTAACAATACTCTTATTTTGGTTGTATTATCTGTTGATTAATTATCTATTGATTGATCGGCAGTCCAAGTGGGCTCTTGCCGATGGTTACGCATACGATCAATTTGACAAATATGGATGCATCTCATTAAGATCATGGGCAGTATCAAGCAGATAGTCTAGTCTCCTCATTAGTCCACAACCCTGAGGATATTCACTTTGGTGACACAAACCCACACACCTGCAAACTGGGTTTCCAATGAAATGTGCTCAATTTGTGCAGTAGGGGACCTCACACAGACACACACACTCACACACACAAACATTGCTGCCATGCATGCACCAGGAGACTAAATTAGTGTCACAAGATGCCCTCGAAAGTCATTAAGTGGTCAGTGATTGGAGTTTGGCATGTCAATTATGTGAAGACCATTTGCATTAAGCAGCAGATATAGCAATTTTTTATTTTGTAGTAAGAGAAACAACATTTTTTCATACGACACATTATATAAAAAATCTGTAATAAGGAAACAATTCTATCTTGAGAATAACATTAAATGAAAAACGGCTCTATTTCTGCTTTTAACATGTTGTTACTAACACTGATAATAAAAAAAGCCCTGTTCTTCATTTTCCGATTTTTGTTTCAGAATAGGAAATCGATTGAGACGACGGTAAACAGAGTTAGAAATACAGTCGAAAATAGGAAAATGAGGAAGAAGAGCACAGAATACAATACAGAGGTCAAACCGCTTAAAATGTATTACTGCACTGTGCTTCTGGAAAAATAGACAATGGGCAAAGAGGGCATGATAAGTAAAAACAAAAAGTGGCACTGTAGCTATAGTTCAGTAAACGCTTAAATGTAAAATGTAGGAGGAGGCAAAAAAAAAGCACAGAGGAAAAAAGAGAACAAGTAATCAAAGGTTTATAAATTGTGATAAACTTGTCATGAAATAAGCTAAATATACCAAATACAGACTTTGGACACACTTCTACAGAAGTGTCATAGAAACGACCTCTTCTGATAGCTTTTAGCTGATTGAATATCTTTTCCTATCTTTGAGGAAGCCAGTGCTTTCTGTAAATGTCAGTATGCTATGAAAATCAACTTTTGCTAGACTTTTTCTTCTCTTCATGTTCTCTTTAACCTTTCTCAAAGTAATCTTAGCGTTAGTGGCAGTAAGAAAGCAGGAAACACACAATTAAATAAAAAAACTCCAGATTGGGAAAAACATTTTTTTGAAGAGTGAAGACTGGTCTGTCACCCTAAAAGGGCCAATATGTCACCCTAAGTGAAACCACATAGAGTATAAACACTATATGTCCAATAAAGTGAAGCCCTCTAAAGTGGTGACCAGCTTTTCTTTATGAGGACAGAGAGAGGCTCACAGCAAACCTAAATAAAAAAATATACCTCATAAATGCTCCATTATAGCAGTACCTCACCAAAACTCAAGATAAGTAAGATGTAAAACAGCTTATTTTAAAATGTACTCACAAAGCATGTGAGGGAATTATGCTGTTGACCAGTCGTAGTTCATTTTCATCTCTTAAAAGGGGGTGAGTGATTTGTAAAGTTATGTGATCTTTTATCCGTCACAAATACTGAAGATCTACACACCCAACAACACCCAGAGACCCTTAAATCAGCCTCCATTCAGCCGTGGCACAGCAATAGGTATTTGGTATGAGGTCAGTGTTTTTGTCCTTGGCTATAGCGTTGAGATTGAGTCAGAGCGACCAGCACTGCTGTAACTGACACTGGCTGTCTGTGTCCAGCATCTCCACTACCAGCCGCCAAATCCCCCCCACCACCCAAGCTCCTCTCCTGCCCTCAGGCCCCGCTCGGCCCGCCACGTCCCCAGAGATGCCATATTCATTATTTACACTCAGGATTTATCAAGCCCCACAGCAGAGACTGACCTACCTCATTTGGTCTCTGTCCCCTGGCTTTTGTGACACACACACACGTAAGCCCATAGTCAAATATACATAAATAAATGCACACACACACACACTTGCAGGTGAAAGGAAATTACTTCTGCCTTGTTTGGCTTCTTCGGCCTCATGATTGCTCTCTTAGTAATGGCTGCTGTAAGCACTGAGACAGCTGCGCAGATAAAACTAAAGGGTTGTGCTACACTGAAGGACATTTTTGCTAAAAAAAACATTCACCCCCATGTTGCAATATATATTTTATGCTCCACATCAAAACAAGTCACTTTCCCTCGAAGAATTAAAGCGAAAACCAAGCCAGTGGATGTGTGTGAGGCTTGAACAAAATTCCCCAGTTACCTCACAAAAAAACATCTTTGTCCAAATAAACCTATGCAGACATAGCATAGACAGCTCCTGACAACATGGCTCTCAAATAGATATTTTTCTATGTTTAATGTGACAGCATCGACACCGCTTTGATATTTTTCTGCTCGGCAGAGTTTTCGGCACGCCGTGTGCTACATGGGGGCCCAGAGGTCCATCATCTTAGATTTGGCTCTAGTGTTCTTATCTGGCTGTTTCTATTGTTGGGTTGCATCAGTATCTTTCCCTGTTGTGCAGCAAACACAAAAAAATCTCTTGTTTTTCTGCACACAGCTGAGTTGGTATTCTCTGTTAATCCCACACCACACATCAACAAACAAGGTTTTATTTACAAGGTAAACTGTATATTGAATTTTTCTACCAGAGATTTTGTCTCATATTTTGATGGCGGCAGCTCTTTCATCCAAAATCTAACCTTTACAATGAGAGTACTTTAGTTAAGGACATTTAAACTAGTTTATCTCCTGGATAACTTTGAAGTCGATGCCTCAGTGTTAAGCACCATTGGCTCTATGTTAGTGTAGATTTCATGTAGATAGACATGAAAGCCAGGTGGTATTGGAGCGCAAGGTATAAAGGGAGAAACTGCGTCCATGAAACATTCTGGGAAAGTTACCACAGTCTACCACTTTTTTCTCTACCTTCGCCCCAGTGCATGCTGGGATAGGTTTATCCACCCTGTGACCCTGAATAGAAATAAACTGGTAAAGACAAAAGAGGCCTTTTTAAATTTTATTTGGGGCTATACTTGTCTGTGAAGTGTAGAGGTAATACCGTATTTCTTTATTATACTTGAAGAGTGGTCACATTCAGTTAAGTTTATTTGTATAGCCATTAAAAGTTCTTAATCACAGTACAGTCTCAAAGTGCTTCAAATTACTTACACCCACACAAAGAGAGAGTAAATGAAAATGAAGAATGAATTGATACCCTCTGTCCTAAGGCCCTTGCTGAAAAAATCCCATGGAAAGGAATTGCATCTGGTGACTCATGCAAAGAAGCAATGTGTGTCAGGCGAGCCTCACCAGGGCCGATGTGTTGATTTCAGTTTCCTTTGGGTTCTCACGTTCCCTCCCTCTCTCTTCCTCTCTGTCTCCAGGTGCAGCAGGATGCAGGGCGTACTGCCTGTGTGTGGACTGCAGCCCCTGCTGGCCCTCCTTCTGCTTCAGATTGTGGGCTGTGGTAAGTCCTCATTAAATTGTAGACAGTCACCATCACCTGACCTGCAGTATACAGTGCATAACTGCAGATAATCATGTGCGCTGACAAACCACAGACCAATCTCTAAT